GGCTTGCTTTATCAGATGGGGTTGCGGAGGATCGTGTCGTTAGACTTACATGGGTTTTCCATGTTGGCATGTCGACTCTACCTCTGTTGATATCATTTGGTTGTGTTTAGTTCATAGTGTTGGATTTCATTGAGTCTTGGACGTAGTGATTCACTCCTTGAGGAAGTTTTATCTGTAACTGAGTTTTGCTGAAGGATTGGTCTCGGATACTAACTAAAGTATTTTTGACTTTGGTTAGCTTAGTTGTTAGAGAGATTTGAGTGGTGATTCACTTGTGCTTTCTTCTAACTTTGTTATGGTGTTGATGGCATTGAAGTGATGCCTTGTCGTTGACATTGTTGATGTTAAGATTTGAGTGAAATGAGATGTCTCTTTATAAGATGGGTTTGGGGTTTCATTAGTTTTAATGGAGATAGTGTCGATGATTTGGCTATAGCTTTGTGTTATTAGCATTCGCACATTTGTTAGTTAGCAACTCTGTTGACATTCAAGTGAACTGAGTGGCAAGTTTGAGTTAGTTGTGTTCTAGACGAGATTATTTAGTAAAGGTTGAGCTTTGACTTTTCCTTGAAAAGTGGTTCAGTCGTGGACTATGCTAGCTTTATAAGAGGAAAGAGTTAGTGATTGAATCCTTGCTGAATTTCAGTTTAGATATATCAATCATTAATGATTCTTCTTGTGCTTGCTATGAAGTGAGTTATGTTTTGCTATAGATGGATTCATGGAGGATCGTTTGGTGATCACTTGTTGAGCATAGCTTCGTTATGTTTAGCTTTTGAATTGATGCAAACATGCTCTTCATTAGCTTTGCATTATGTAGTATAGCTTATGGATGTGTTGAGGAGGATATTGTGGATTGTGCCATGATTTCTTCTTTAGCATTGAAGTTAGTTTATGCGAGACTTGTGATCATTGTTAGGAAAGACTTGGCTATAGACTTCTTCGAGCTTTTGGTTCTATGAGTTTTATGCTCATTGTTCCATTTGTTAGAAGTTGTTGGGAAGGCATTTTGGCTCATTAGCTTCGATGTTGACGTTAGTTTTTGCATCTAGCAATCATTGGTGATGATTGACTATCATCTAAGATAGTTGATTATCCTTGTCAAGGGTTTTGCTTGATTATTGTTGGTATAAAATGATTTGCTGTTCTTCGGGATAGTAGATTCTTTCTTTGATGATGATTATGCATTTCTCTATTGATAGGATGATTGATGATCTTTCATGATGGTTAGTTGTTCTCTTTGATGGCTTATAGCTTTTCGCAATACCACATGTTCTTTGTGGTTTGCTCTGGATTGGTCTCTTGGGTTTGAGACATCAGTAGGATGTTGCTGACACTTGCTTAGGCAACTTGAGTTCCTTGGTATTGTTGGCTGGGATTTATTCAGATTGGCTTTTGTGATAGTTGGCAGGATTGAGTGTTTGTTGGTTTTACCGCATTCATTTTCTTCTATTGGTTGTTGCTCGAGTTAGTTTTGATAGATTTGGATGTTATTTCCTTTGGGTGATACATTCGCAAGCATTTTGCTTGTCAGTTAATAATACTTTGTGTTCTTTGAGTTATCTTTCGTAAGTTGTTTGGCATTCTATCTGCGATGTTTGATAGTTAAGTTTTATCATTGAGTTTCTTTGATAATATCCTTGCTATTGAATTTTGTTGAATGGTGATTCCTATGTTTACCAATTATGATAATCTTGGTGGTTCCTATCCTATACTACTGGTTTATCGGATGATAACTTACTTAGAATACTTTTGTGTTCTAATCTAAGATTTCATCACTGGTAATCAAGTCTCTAAGATATCATTGTCTCTGACTTTGATAATGTACATCTATTGATCTTTGAGTTTGGGCCAGTAATGGGCAGATTGGCTTCGGCACTTTGTGTGCATGTTGAAATCTTTAGTCATGGGGTAGCTACTGTCGACTGGTCACATAACCCGCCTCTCTGTCGATGTTCTTTATTCCGTTGAAAGGGCGTGACCGTGTAAACAACTCTAACTACCTGTTTACAATAGTCTATCTAAACCTTACCGACGGGTTTGGTTTCTTTGCTCATGAGGGTTGGGACCCCTGGCTCCTCTCTCTATGTCTCTGTGGGCAGGGTATATCACACTTTTGTAAGTTGGATGACAACCAGAGCAGCAAGGGTGGCTGACTCCGTTGGTCATTTCCTTGTCGGCGACGGCCGGAAGGTGTCTGAGCTGGTAGCGCATCCGCGTTAGATAAAGAGGTTGCCTCCTAACTCATTTAAGTTGGTGCATTTCTCACATAGTGTGAATACCGTGAACTTTTTCTGGAGTTTTTTCCTTGGCGGTATTCTAGACTCGAGTGTGCATCGACGAGGACGTCGATCTTCCCTAGGGGGGGAGAGTGTCGCGAATGTGACTTCAGGTATCGAAAGTTACCTGTCGGCCAGTCCTTTCGGATATTCTTTCCTTACTGCCACGATGGCAGGAGGTCGGTATTGCTGGACCCGTTATTAGTCTCCGCCTAAGCTAGTTGAGAAACTGGTCATCATATGTGCACTTAGACCAGAAGGGCACTAAGGAAGGAAATCCTAAGTTGTCATTTAGTCAAACAGACTTGACACGGTGATGAGAAACTCATGATGTTGGCTTGCACTTGCTAGTGTTGGGAACCCCCGCAATATTGAGTTTGGTCCCTCAATATTCGCTAGATGATAGCTTACCATGTCTGCCAAACACCTTCACTATCATGCCCTTAGCGTTAGTCTCAATTCGGTCCCAAATGCTATTTATGGAAAGTGTCCAGATTTGCTCATTTGGCATGTCTACGGAATGTAGAGATCGGTCTGAACATAATGGTGTTCGTCCCGTGTCCAAATTCGCAATCTAACGCCATTCCATATTTAGTAAGTTTCGAGCTTGTCCCAGAGACTAACTCCTGGTATTAAGGGTAGGCTTGGTACCTTCGTTTAGTGGCCCAAAACCTCAGGTTCCTATGGATACGTGGCGTGGACATGTGGCATGTGACACATGGCATTTGTCACGTGGCACAAAGATGGTTTAGGTACCGCTTCGTGATGTTATCCTATGGTAAATCACCATAGGATAAAGGGTCAAAACCACGTGCGCTACAACCTAGAACCCGATCCTAAAACTCTTCGATCCATCTTAAGATTACTGATCTATAATAGTACTTTCTATTTCCTATTAGCTGATCCATCCGGAAGGATCCCAAAACTATCCCATTTTTTTCATACCTTCCTTACAAGAGCTTTATGTCCCGAATGTAGCAGAAAAGACCACCCAAGTAGCAGCCTCAAGATCCAAAGGCCACTCACATCCCTGTCTAGTGTGCCAAAGATGAGAAGCTATTTCATTTCCTTGCTTCGAAAAGGGGTACAAAAGTAGTGACCCTACTCTCTCTCCTCTCCTTTATATCACCATACATGTCCATCCATACATTTATTCCATACTAGCATGCCACGGCATCATCTCTAACTGCTAGCTGCTGGGATCCCTTGGAATATCTTGAATATTCTTTGAATCCTCTTTTTCTTCCACGGAAACACTCAAAACTTCAAAAATCTTGGGAAATCTATGAAAAGAGAAAACCACAACCACAATTGATCATTGACACCATAACATACATAAAATCTACTTTATAGTAACCATAAAGAATTCTCTGCTTACAATAGCATTTCCTTCCATAGGGGTTTCCCTTGCAGCCACTCGCATGAGTATTACAAATGTATCTTGAGTAACTGATTAACTAACATATGGCCCAACCACATATGAGAACCCCAGGCTCATTGGCCCCAACATCCACAATGCCACAGGATACGCTACCAGGCACACCCTCACAAAATACAGGACAAGCGTGCACTCGCTGCCTGTCGAACTTCACCCCACGAGAGAAGCAGTACTGCCCACTATGCAAAACAGATGTAGAGACTGTGTCCCATGTCGTCTATGACTGCCCAGCATAAAGACAACACAAGATTCACCCCTCGTTCTTGTTTCTTCTCTTAACCTTCTGCTTACCTTTTTCTGTCTTTGCACCAGGTTCGTGCCAAACTTCACGCTGCTGGTTTCGAAGACGTCAATGCCTCGGACAGAAAGGTGGACAAAAAGGTACTCGGACACACATATTTTTGACATTTAAGCTCAAATGGCACACTAAAACTATCTCTTGGTGTTGGGCGCTACACAGCACAAGAACAGAACGAAAGCAGCCTGTATTCAAGATTTCAAGTTCTAACATTCATCTCTCGTCTGCTGGGATAGAAGATTGGCTTGAGTGCCAGAAAGGCGCTTGACCATGTCCAGGCAAATCACAACAACGATGGGAGCAGCAAAGGCCAGCGCAGTTGCATCACGATCAAAGGATTGGATACATGCGGCTGTGGAGTTTTGGAGTGAAGCAGAAAGTTCTGTAAGTTTATGTGAGTCAGTCTCTTCCAAGTTGACCATTGTTGACTGGAGGGTCTGCGTAGATTCTCCTTGTGAACTGGTCCACTTTGATGAAGTATCTCACAAGCTGTACGCTATTACTTGCAATCTTTTTGTTTTTTCAATAATTACAGCAATGCTATTTACTAACATTTGTCGTCAGTTTGCTTTATTTAGATAAATACCTTTTGGACGTTGGGTAGGGTCTCCGTAATAGTCTAAATGTCTCAAGCAGTGCTGTACCATGCAGAGCTCACGCCCGCCCATGAAGGAAGCCCCACCCGAGAAGATTTCAAGAGGGCAAGTTGGATCAAACTGCGGTAAAAGACTTGTGGCGAGCCCTCCAATTTTCTTGATTTTAACAATCACAAGATCCAAGGCTTGCTGTTTTACCATCTAGTTAAGGGACGAGAATCTCTTGAGGGAGCTTCATTTGATCGATTAAGTAAACCTTATAGGCTAGATATGATGTTCCATATGATTTGATTTACTCTTTAAACATTGGGTATCTGCCCTAATTCCTAGAAGTAAAGTATATAACATGAAATACCTTCTCGTTCTTGTTCTTTACCCAGGGCACAAGAATGCAGCGCGTCTCGAGAGGCGATTTCATGGCGGAGCTGGAGCTCGTCTTGTTAAAGCTGTCCGCGATCGATCTGTGCCAGGCGAGGTGCGTGTGCCGCGAATGGCGACGAGCAATCGACGCTCCCAGCTTCCGGGAAGGGTATGCGCGCTCCCATGGCTGCATTCCTCATCTTTCCCTCAGGCTCGCCGAATCCCTCTTCGTCAAGCCAGTCGACAATTCCCCGCGCAGCGAGTGGCGCCTCTTCCAGACGCTCCCAGAGGGCATGACCATCGCCAGCACCGACGCGGGCTTGCTGTGCCTGGCCACGTTTGGGGACTTGGATCGGCCCTCCTCCATCTACGTGTGGCGCTACAGCGATATCAACTCCTCCCCGGTGAGAGTTCCGTTGCCACCAGTGCCCATCGACTGGAGTCGCATGGTGGTGTACACCCGCGACAGGGATCGATCGACGCCACAGTTTCGCGTGGCTATCTTCGACAGGCCCTCGCTTGCGTTCTACGTTTACGACTCAGCCCTCAGCCAGTGGTCCGTGCATGGGGACTTGTACCCGTCGGGCCGGAGGGGCGACCCAGACATGGGCTGTACCATTCACAACAACGGCTTCTATCCGATGTTGCATCACGGTGTGGCGGTGATCCTTTGCACGGAGACGTGGAGGGTCTTGCGATACAACATGTGGGACGGTTCGTGGAGCATTGCGGATCTTGACACCACCGAGTTGGAGTTGGGATCCAGGTGGGCGTTTGTGCTGTTGGATCCGGGCCGACTTTTCGTGCTGAGCGAGGACGACAACACGGAAGATTTGGAGGGACTGATCGTCGCGGAGATGCAGGGAGAGAAGTGGCAGGTCGCGTCGTGCTGTGACGACCTTGGCGATGTGGAACTGTGCGAGGACTTGATATGCACCGATGGGAGCAACAGCATATGGCTGGTCGACTCGGACTGCTCACGCATCATGCACTTTGGAGTGGTTTCCAAGTGCTGGTCGGAGGTGGAGACACCAGACACTTTTCAAGGACACAAGGAACTCGCGTGGTTTTCCTGTTAAGTAAGTTGTTTCTTTCTTTCTCCTGTTTTTTGTATAAGGTTTTGTCTCCTCCTCTTCTGGCAGCACTCTTATGCGGGTATACAAGTTGAGCGAAATTTATGTCCTGCCAACCGTCTCCTCTTTGCTGCAAAAGTTTTCTGTGTGACCACCACTTTTTGTTCCATAAACCTAGCTTCGTTTGATCGTCTAGATCAACGTATCTTTTTAAGCGGGTCCATGATTGGAAAGAAAAAGTATTCCTTAAGCAAAACGGAAGTCAATTCCATAAATGAAATAAATAAACCTTACCTTTTAGTTTACTTTTTATATATTTACTAAGTATGCCATTTCATAAGTGAAAAATATATTAAAAGTTTTATTTTGACTTGCATCTGATTTCATAAGCTAATATGGTGCCTCTTGTAGACAAAAGGCTACTTCTAAAGAATGTCAACGTTAGTCACTGCTAGAGATGCACGTATTATGTTGTTTCATGGAGGCAGCTGCATGAGAACTTCACTGCATTGGAATGGCTTGTCGTGTGCAATAGGGACTTGCTTAATGAGAGCAGTTGACAACAGTTTTGGAATGTTGTGCAAGGATTGGATTATTGCAGTTTGTTGAGGCTGTAGGCATACACAACAGGCACCAAATTTCTCTCCATTGCAACATGCATTCACCTGCAGCACTTTGAGGAGTTTTGTAGGGTGGCAAGAGATGCCAAGGATGCCAACCTCTAGCACATGTTTGAACAAATTGTGTTTGTCATGGTTCTACAACAGTGAAGAGGAGCTGTAGGATAAGCTTTTGGCTGCCATATGCCACTTTAATGAGTTTGAGCTCTTTATGGTATTGCAAAGCATGGCACTATTGCGGCACAATTTTTAGAATGTGTTCAGCATGCATATAGGAATTTTTATACATATGTAAGCAACATATACATAGTTGTATGTAGAGCTCAAGAAACTTATGTATGTGTAAATGGTGGGTCAAAACATTTATTTTCCAATCCACAAACAAGTGGAACTTTACATACTTATTTTCCACATGTTCCAGAACAAATTCAGTCAAGCCAAGCCATGGGATTAGCAAGCTAGTTTCGCCTTGGGTTTCTTCACCTGCAGAATTCATAAAACCTCCATTACAGTGGTTTGAGGTGCATTTCCTTCCAATTAAAGGCAAACTTGAATAAAATATTCTTGAGGTGTTCATCCTACACTTTGCAGACCAGTTCGATTACATCTGCACGTCTTAGAAATAATAGGACAAAGAGTACCATTTGTCTGCTTCACTTGTCCATTATAACAAGGATAATATGGAATAGATTTTCTGTGCTTCAAACTATAAAATTCAGTGAATGCAGCGACCACTTCGTTTAAGAAATAAAAACCTCTATCACCTACTAATTCCAAAGGACAACCAAACCTAGTAATAATTTACTCATACAAAAACTCAACAACTTTTCTAATTGTAGCTTCCTTCAACATTTTTACCTTGGCCCATTTGGTCACATAGTCAGTATAAATTAATATGTACTTGCAATGAGTATGCTTGCTTGTTGGAAAAGGCCCAAAAAAATCAATTCCCCATTTCTCGAATGGCAACATTGGCAAAAGTGGCTACAATAGCATCATATGTCCTTTTGACGGTTTCTCAATCTTTTGACATGGATCCCAACCCCTCACAATGAAATATTTTGGTGCATAGTTGGCCACCAATATCCTGTCCTCTTTACCAACTCGATTTTAGCTTCCTCACGAAGATGTCCTCCAAAAGGTGATTCATGACATGCAGAAAAAACTTTAGATACCTCATGAGCTAGCACACACCATCATTTCCCACATGGTAAAGTTGCCCACCATCAAACTGAAGTGCCGAGATTGAAGAAGTAACTGCTTCTTCTCTTTACTAGAGAAATCCAAAGGATTACTTGCCACTCTTCTCTTTACTAGAGAAATCCAGAGGATTACTTGCTGGATCCATGGCGACATGGAAATGGGGCAGCACGCAGTGCGTGGGGCGATTGGATTGGAGGAATCGCCCAGGGTTTCATCCGTAGTCATGCTACACTGGCTATGTGATCTTGCACGGATGACATCGAGGAGGCCTACCGTCTCATTGTTTCCACTCTGATTTCTGTCGTTCTTACCAGGCGTGTTCATTTCAAACTCCAAAGGTATTTGGCTGTGCAAAATAGGCGAGCTGTGTCAATCAGGTTCTCCAAGGCCTGGGAGCAGGATGGTTTTGGATCCTAAGAGGTTTGTTTCAGCTATGGCTTAGATTGCCATTGCAATTTGAGGAGGCAGAGCTGAAGATGTTACATATCTGGTAAACATTGGTTTTGTTCGTGTTTCTTCAATCTGTGATTGCTTCGGGAGAGTCAGTAAACCGGTTTGTGATTCAATCGGGATATGTTTTGTACCCTTTGCGAGTATCATAAGATTGTCTTTACAGTCCACCTGTACCCAACTGAGGAGTATGGGACTCTAAACTACATAAACTCGTAACCAGCGGGGCGTGCCGCTCGACATCACGTATGTTTCACTGTATATTCATTCATTATCCGCGGCAATCCTTTCAGAGCATCACTCGTTGGATTGGAGAACCGTTAAAAGGCCCGCTATCCTCCATTCAAGTGTAAGTGTGTAACACAAAGTAGCGATTTCTAATAGAGTCCGATTACAATGCTGTTTAATCGCTCAGTGAAGGTTTGCTGCCCGTGTTCCACAGTTGATCATTTAATACTTTCACAGATCATTGAGTCATTTCATTCAGTTGGTGCGTTTGAATATGTGGAAGTTTCCAGTAGGTCATTGCTCGCGCGAGAGTGCTATAACCATAAAATTAAAAAAAGAGTATGCCAGCAACTCTTTTCCTTCCACGAATTGAGGTAACTTTCTAGCTCCTAGAAACAACTGGTCCATACGCTACTGATACTCCACGTCAGTTTGCTTTATTTAGATAAATACCTTTTGGAAATTGGGTATATCAGTCATGCAAGGGCTAGGGTCTCCGTAATAGTCTAGATGTGTCAAGCAGCGCTGTCGCTCCGGGAGCTCACGCTTGGGCGGGCGTGAGCTCATGAAGGAAGCCCCACCCGAGAAGATTTCAAGAGAGCAAGTGGGATCAAACTGCGCTGCAAGACTTGTGGCGAGCCCTCCAGTTTTCTTGATTTTAACAATCACAAGATCACGCAGCCGCGATACAATTGTAAGGCCTGCCGTTTTACTGTACAGTTAAGGGACGAGAATCTCTTGAGGGAGCTTCGTTTGATCGATTAAGTAAACCTTATAGATTAGATACGATGTTCCATATGATTTGATTTACTCTTTAAACATTGGGTATCTGCCCTAATTCCTCAAGAAGGCCCATTCTGGGCATATGCTACGATCATCGGGACTGGCCCTAGCTTCGATTGTGCTGCGGCATCCTCGCGAGGAGCTCCATCAGTTGGGAGACGCAGCCAATTGCATCTATAACTCACGAGACGATATCCCTACCGGGTTTTAACACCATATGCCCCTCTTGGGCATTTGTTGCAATTAGGAACGACATCCCATCTGGGCATTTTATCTAATCTCTCTGTAGCTTCCTCGACCCCTCCATGGTCTCCAAAAGCGGAGAATAGGTCTGTCTAAGTTACCTCGTGTCGCAAGGGCATTCGACAGAAGATCTTGTCGGCTTTCTCCAGATGCCCATTGAAGGCATAGCTCTCTCCGAGAAGCCACACGTCACTGTGCTTCACAGCGGATCTCAGCGATGTTTCTGGTGAGTTTTGGAGGACTCTTGATCCATTCTATGCGATTTTGTTTCCAGATACTTTCGTTTTCAAGGGACTTCCTTCCCGGATGGTTTGCTGAGCCACGCGTTTCTACTCAAGCATTACCTCTCTCCGAGTTTGGGGAACTCTGTAAGCAACCGGTTTCTAATCTTGTGTCTTTCAGAAGCTTGGAAATTGTGAAAATTTCATCGCTACAGTGAAAAGTATGCTGTGGCTGCATTCCTCACCTTTCCCTCAGGCTCGCCAAATCCCTCTTCGTCAAGCCAGTCGACAATTCCCCGCGCAGCGAGTGGCGCCTCTTCCAGACGCTCCCAGAGGGCATGACCATCGCCAGCACCGACGCAGGCTTGCTGTGCCTGGCCACGTTTGGGGACTTGGATCAGCCCTCCTCCATCTACGTGTGGCGCTACAGCGATATCAACTCCTCCCCGGTGACAGTTCCTTTGCCACCAGTGCCCATCGACTGGAGTCGGATGGTGGTGTACAGCCGCGACAGGGATCGATCGACGCCACAGTTTCGCGTGGCTATCTTCGACAGGCCCTCGCTTGCGTTCTACGTTTACGACTCAGCCCTCAGGCAGTGGTCCGTGCATGGGGACTTGTACCCGTCGGGCCGGAGGGGCGACCCAGACATGGGCTGTACCATTCACAACAACAGCTTCTATCCGATGTTGCATCACGGTGTGGCGGTGATCCTTTGCACAGAGACGTGGAGGTTTTGCAATACAACATGACCAAGTTGGAGTTGGGATCCAGGTGGGCGTTTGTGCTGTTGGATCCGGGCCGAATTTTCGTGCTGATTGAGGATGACAACACGGAAGATTTGGAGGGACTGATTGTCGCGGAGATGCAGGGAGAGAAGTGGCAGGTCACGTCGTGCTGTGACAAGCTTGGTGATGTGGAGGTATGTGAGAACTTGATATGCACCGATGCAGCATATGGCTGGTCGACTCGGATGGCTCACACATCATGCACTTTGGAGTGGTTTCCACGTGCTGGTCGGAGGTGGAAACACCTCCAGACAATTTTTCTTTTTATTGTTGTTTAAATACATTTACTAATTTTCTATCAATGTAGATGAACACATGTATGCTTAGAAAGTCAAAAACATACTCATTGAAAAATATGTTAAAAGTTTGATGAGTATTTTTATTTTTACTTGCATCTGATCTTATCATTAAAAATATGCTAATATTAATTTAAAATAAGCAAGAATTTCCCTTTGTGAGTGCATGGAATATGGAAAGGGAATACAGAAATGTACATATCAATTAACCCAAAAACCATAGCTTATATACAAAAGTGAGTAGTCCGGATTGAAACCAATTTGACGGCTACCAAAATCCCACTACGCTAATATTAGTATATGGCATCATAGCCGTACACTTGGCCCTCACATCATCCCCTCCTCTCGGAATAATGGAAGACCATCAGAGTTTTCTTATAGACGGGCTGGGATCTGGAGGAACATCAAGAGGAGGCATTGGCGGATCTGTAGATGGTATTAACTACTCCTGATCCCTTTGTATGAAGTGTTTTAATTG